ATAACTTTTTAGACTTGTATTCAATATTTCTATAGATACTATCTAAAACTATTTGCCCTGCCACTAGCAACAAGCCCATTGGTTGTATGGCTTAACAGACTTATGGATCAAAACATCAAGATCTTTTTTTGTCAATAACACTGTTAAGATTATTCTCATCAAATCTGTACTCATAATTCAAACGGTGATATTCCACATGCATCATCTTGCATTTTTTTTTATAATTAAAAACCTTCTGCCCTTTATTCGCCTAACTTACCAAATAATCCAAATCCTTTGTCTAAAACACTAGCATGCTCCACTCAGCCAACAATACCCAGAACTATAATGTCATGTGACTTTATATTTTTAATAATTGGTGTGCTTATTTGCTATCAGTTAAGAACAACTAGAATTAAATGCTTAAATATTTAAAGTTGCCACACCACAATGCATAGATCTTGGGAGTTGGATAAGTATTAAACATTGTCTAGTTCTAATTCGATGACGAGGAACCCACTTTGAGACTAATAATGGCTGAAGACGGCTTGAATGGGTAATGAAGAAAAACTTTAATATAAAGCCGTCTCCAGCCATTATTGTCTAGTTCTGTTGTTTTACACTATGAACGTTTGTGCGATCTGGATGCGCGAGCCAAATGTGACGAAAAGTTCGCGTTTGCTACGATAGAAATTAATATTAAGTAACAACAGCTTTTATAATGTTGGAGTTTATAAATTGTAAAAAAAAACCAACAAAAAACTGTTTATTTAGCTGTTACTAAGCGCAAAGCTATACAATGGGCTACTCATGCCGACGGAAACCCGGTTTATAGCGTTTTAAGCCTTCAGACTTAGCGCGAGGCCACTAGGGGCGTTTTAGAAATACCTCGTTTTAAAGTTTTCTTTTACAAAAGTGTAAAGCATAACTTTTACTTCTATTTAAAAACATAAACATATGTTAAATTTCCTTCTAACATTTTACACTGTTTTGGTTCTTCTCTAATATACGTACATCAGAGTATATTTTGTAAGTTGTTGTTATTGTTTTGGTTTTCTTTTATTTATAAAACATTGATATGACAAACACCAGATTCATAAACAAACAAAAATTACAAATTCAAAATTAGTTATTAACTCTATATATGTTAAAAAAGCTAGAGTAAAAAGTTTTTATCTAAGGTAATAATTTTAAAACATTTTATTAATATATAAATTTCTAAAATTAGATATAGAGCTCACCCTCACAGTCGACATCAAACCGATAATCAGAAATGACACATATTATAATATAAAACAACAAAACATCTGGGGAAAATTCCCTTTTTATTTTGTTGATATAATGGATGAGAGTAAGTAAGAGCGTATATTTAAGCTTTTAGCTTACTAATATCATAGAGCCTTATAATAATGAACATTATTGTTTTGTAAATTAACATTTTAATATATTTTGAATATTTTCATTTTAGATATTTTTGTCATGCTCGTGGTTAGCATGTAGTGTCATATGTCTCCTGATGCTATTTCAATTTAAAGATACTATTAGCTTTCTTAAAATCCTAAATAATAATTCGCATTTGAAAAAGAAATGATAACAAACTTATAAAATATTTTTCTTATTATTTATCTTCTGTATATCTTTCGTTTTTATGTGCCTAACATAACTAGAATGCTATATACTTAAGTTTGTTTTTAGTTTCAATTTACATTTTTTTTTCCTGATTTTCTAAAAGTATG